ACGCGGAGGCTGATATTTATATTTTAACGCGTCGTTCTCGCGTGTGCTTCCTTTTTTCGACTGCTCGTTTTTGGAATACAGATAAACAGAGTTTTAGCTTCTTTATAAATCCTAAGTACATGTATCGTGCGCTTTGTTAGAATATGGCTCGGAGAATAATTAGCGAAAAAAGTTAAAATTGTCAATTAGCGATTCAATTACGTTTGTTAATGAAATAAATTACCGAGCTTTTCAAAGTTTAAAAATTTATACAATTTGAATTCTTTACTGATTTTGTGGATCTCGACGATGAAATATCGTTTAGGTTAACTAAAGTTACAGCGAGTGTGTGTGAACGATTAAATTGTATCGCATGGGAGATTTCAGTTATTTTGCAATGAAGTGAATAATTTGAACTGCTACGTAAGCGATAACATTAATTCGTAATACGCGTATTTCAATTTGGATTCGCATAGGTTTATCATATCATATGTCGTATGTTAAATTTCGTTCGCATATCCTGACAACTTGGTGAAATTACATAAAAGTTAATCTGTGCATACTTCCAAAAACCCGCATGCAACCAAAACCACACGCGTTAATACAAGAATTCAGTTGAACGGATTCGCATATTTTCTTTAGTGACTGTACGACAGTCGAGTTTTTGAAACGGGAAAAGTTCTGTCCGTTGAAAGGGTTTGAACTTTGGTCAACCCTAGACGCGGAGGGTCGGGAGAAGGAGAAGGGTGCACTGCAGCGAGGGGTTTAAAGCGTTTCATGTAGGTAATACCGGAAGTTAAGGTCGTTGCATTGGGGCGTGGCAGTACCTTAAGTTACAGGCCCATAACTTGTTCAATGGCGTGGCGTACACTTGGAAAATGGAGCAATCCTAACTTGCTTTCGTTTCAAGACGTTATGAGCCATTGTCGTAACATAATAGAAAATTGGATTTAAATAATCATGTGTTTCGTACGACTCACATCCCACTCACATCATCATTTATCAATCTTTATAAATTTTAATTAATTTTGAAGCCGAAATTGCAATTATAATCGCAGGATATATTTGAAAGTGTCCATATCAGGGAGGATTTTTTCGCATTTTCTGAGGACTCTATCAAAATGATGTTTATAAATAAGTTAATGATAAAAACAAGCGCGCCGAGATGAGAATAAAAATCGAGAACTGCGGAATAAAAGTGGAAGCCATAATATCATCTTTTTCTTTACACAGTATGCATACGCATACCGATCATTTTAAGATAATGAAAGTTTCTTTTAGTGAACATTCTCATTGCGCTTATTAAAGTTTTCCACTGCGAGAGAGATAAAAGCTGGTAAGGAAATTAAGTTAAAAGTTTCCCCGTCGGCAAAAATTTTTCCTCTTGCTGAACATGTTCAAATAATATTAAAGTTACAGCACTGTACTAAAAGTATTTTTAGTCCATACTATTACAATTATTACACGTCAAAAAAGATGCCATTGTTGGAAATTAAATTTCTTTCTTTCTTGGTGAAATTCCGAAGCTTGATAGATATGTTCATAGATATTTCTTGTGAAGAGAGCATTATTCATTTTTCGCACTAATTTATGTTCTCAAATTCTTCCCAATTGACTAAAAATTTCGAAAATTTAATAATGTTTAAAAGTGATGAAATATTTATATCAGTATTTTTCATCTCTACATATCGGTGTCAATATTTTTATGCATTTGTGCAAGTAATTAATTTTCATACACGTGTTTCATACTACATCGAACTTGTTTTTGATTTTAGCGTAAATAGATTTCTGTGAAAATTTTTTTCTTTGGTTGCTCTTGTTAGATATTTTCGAAATGTATTCTTCTAGATATTTTTTGATAAAAATTGTTCAGAAATGCATGTTTATATTGCTTTCTGCGAAGAGGTCGGCAACCTAATCTTGCAAGTTTATTTTCACAGTTTGCTCGGGGAAAGTATACTTTTGCGCCGCTCGCGCGTCCCATTGTTGCGGAAACATTTTTTTTCCCGCATGAAGCCGAGTCATTTCTTCGGCGGTAAGGCCGCGGCGGCTACGAGGTCGTTCTGGATAATTTTCGGAAGGGTCGCGACCGCCGCAGAAAACGCTTGAAGTGGCCTCCACTTTTGCGTGGGTTTATGCTTTCCGGTTCCTCCCGTCGCTATTATCCGGCCTCCTCTGTTCGCCAGTCGCGTTGTGCCTGAAACAATAAAACACATTCATGAATGAAACCCTTCTCCGGCCATCTCCGCACCCATCCCGCGCAGCGCGCGTCCCGACGCTAGACAACCTCGCACCCTTCCGCGCCCTCAGAGATGGCCCACCACCCTCTTTTAACGCGCTTTATCATACTCCTTCCATTCATTCGCGGCTTCTGGTAATAAAGTCAAAGGTAGGACGCGGACGATGGAAGTCGGAGGTCGGGGTCGGAAGATCTTCCTGCGTGACTTCACCCACGCACGCACGCACTCACGCACGCACGCACGCACGCACGCACGCACGCACGCACGCACGCTACGTGGAGAAAAGTAGCGCAATACCTTTTATTCATAAGGGACCGAGCCCTCTGATAGTTATATTTAGAAAAGAGACTTGAGCTCAAATGTGACGCGTCTACCCTCTTCATCATCTTTTCCGTAATTTTCCGTTTCGCTCCATAGCTCTATTTTATCTTTATTATGTTATATTTATGAACGAAGAGAGATCTTGACACGGCAGAATTACCATCCGGCTGGTTTCAAAAATTGAAATTTTAAAGGAAAAATTAAGCGAGATGTTTAATCCTTTGAAATGTGGTAATACGGTGTACGTTATTTTTATTTTTTGTTCCTACTTCTCTTTTTTAAGACACATAATATTTTCAAGTGCACAGCCATTTTATTCCTTACGGAATTAATTTACTTTCTTTGTATCTGTCCTCGTTGCAGAAGCTAACAATTGCTTCAATGGTGTGCATAAGATTCAGAACGTGTGCATCAAAGGGACAATGGTCGCGCGACTCGCTCCGGAAAGGACCACGAAGTGTGCGCGATGCGAGCGAGACGGAGCGCATCTTCGTGCATTATAAAAGCGTTCCTTCGCCTCCCATCGAGGAAACGAGTAGACGCATTTAAATGTTAAGAGACACTCGAGATGCACGGGAGAATAAGAGAGAGAAAGAGAGAGAGGAAGACGGAGACGGCGAAAAGCCCCGGGAGTTGTAATATAGATAGATATGTACATATGTATATGTACGCCTATGTATATACTATATACCTATAGCGAGAGGAGAGATAGAAGGAGCAGAGAGAGAAAGCTCCTCATTCGTAGCACAGACCTAGAGATCGCAGTGGGCATCCATTGGCCAGAACTATGGGGTGGGTTGGCAGCGCTATGGGCTACTATCGGCTCCTTGGGGATGTTTCCACCCCTATTTCTACCAACTACCCCCTTACGGTGTACACCGAATACACTGGTATAGTTATACAGACTCGTACGTGCCGGGCTGTTGGGTATTGATCGTCGTTGGCTCCAGAATACCACGTTCTACCTACTTCTCCTTCACCTGCAGTAACGCGTCCTTACACATCCTTGCTCGTCCTTCCGCGGCCTGAGTCGCGTCCCGTCCCACCCCACGGTTCGATTTTCCGTACAGATGCCAGTTGCCCGGAGCAAGGCCGGGTGGTGCTCAATATCGATTGAATGTGTTGATTCAACGAGCGATGTTGTTTCATCGGCATTTTATAATTGCAATCGATACGATAAATTTTCTGTATTTCTTTTATCTTTGAAAGACATCTGTAATTATGTGTTTACAGATTTTATTTATATATCTAGAGTTAATTAATTCAATAAAAATTTCACTGTAAATTATTATTAAAGTAACGGCAGTTTTTCAATTTCTATTAAGTATACTAATTAAATTCCGAATTAAATTGTTATGAATGTAGAAAATATGTTATTGTTAAAAATTAGAGAGAAAGAATTCCTGTATGATAATGAAAGGTGCGCTAATTGAAATCAGCGTGTTTTATTAGCGAAAAGATAAAAGTAATATAGACATGCGACGCGCGGAGAGTGATTTCTGGAATTTCATAGCCATTTGTGGTAGATACCTCTGAAGTCGAACAGAAAAGGAAAGTGGGAGGGACGAGAGAGAAAGAGAGAAAGAGCGGCGTGACAGAGAAGGGATGCGAAAATCTGCTGTAATCGAAGATTCTTATCTTTATTGGCGGAATACCGCGTATCTTCGGGAGCGAAAGGGCTGATGGGAATGAGGACATTCCATTCTCCGACGGGAGAGATTGGGTTTCTCCGATTAAAGATCCATCTAATCCTTCCAATCTGACTCCGTGTCCTGTAGCCGCTATTTCTCTTCCCCTTTCTCTGTCTTTCCACCACTCTTCCTTTACATACGTAAACGAGATGCTTACACTCGCAAATAAATGCAAATATGCGCTTGACGTGGGTTAGCTGAGAAACTATTTGCAACGGTTCTTCGCGTAACCAAGCGTTACCAAAGTCCGTGTAATTAAATCAGACGCTTACAACATAATCATAGTATGCAAATGTACTTAAAAATATTGAAATAAAATTTCGAGACGATATAATTGATATAAAAGTAATTATTATAAGCGACTTTTACACGATAATAAATAACACGTAAGCCAAATGATTCTGTTTTATTAACTTATGTTAGTTAAAAGATGTATTTTTCGTTGATTTCTGAATAATATAAAATATTTATAATAATTATTTGAAAAATGTAGCAGAATTTATTAAATTATTTAAAATTAAATTTTATGATATTCTATATAATATAAATTGACCACGTAACATGGATAGAAAAAAAAGCTTTTCGTATATTTGTATAAGACATTCATTCATTTATCTTCCAGCTCTTGTAGTCGTAGAGCATTTGCTCATTATTCCTTCAATTTTTGTTTATTTTATAAATGTTTACTTAAACTTTCCGTGAGAGATTAAAATGTAGAGTATTTTATTTTATTAAACTTTTACTAATGTATTTAATGTTTTATTTGCAGAGTTACATGACCACTGAGATGCATCTCAACGTTTGTTTCCAGCCACGTGGAGGACTTGTCCCGCTATTCTAATGGTAAGTTTTACTTTCATTCATCATTTCCATTACAAGAATAGTAATTACAAGAATATTGTACCGATAAAGTCGGTGGATTGGATACAGTCGTTTTCTACGACTGAGAGTGCTTGGGCATGTCATGTTTAAATGATCGATTAGAGTTCGCTAAATAGTTTGTTTGGAATTTTTTTAGTCTTTTATCTGTTCGAATAATTTTTCGCGGTAGAGATTTAAAGCTGTAAGTCTATCTTAAAGTGTAGGATTAATGACAACAACTAACAACCTAACAAGTTACACAGTTCTGACATTTGCTAAACGAACAATTAATAGTTTGACCGTTCTTTAAACATAAATTTTGCTTATACATTGTATATTTCAATAATTTACATAATGCAAGAAATGTATATCTCGCAAATACGCATATACAAAGCAGAGAGAGAACGTAATTAAGATATTTCTTCCAACTTCCGACAATGAGAAATTTTGCAAGCTATCTTGGCGTCTTTCCATGCTTCCTTCTGCTGGAGGGGGTAAGTCAGAATGGTGGATGAAGGGGGTGGGGCGAATGGTGTGGGGAGCCACATTTTCCAGAGAGGGTAAGACGAGGGACTACGAGGGTTACGTGGTGGTAGTGATGGTGGTGGTGGCAGTCTAACGTTCGCAGGGGGAATACGAGGGGGGTTCGAAAGGAAAGGCGGGGTAACAAGATGGCCGCGACCACCGGCGAAGTAGGGGAAGTAAGACATTTATCCGTAAACAAGAGGCTGCTTCCCCTATGTGGTGTGTCTGCCGTACCGAAAAAGTAACGTCCACGAGCTACCTCGGATTAGCATTCTTCGCGCTCTTCGTGATTGCGCCACCGATGGTTCAGCATGGGTAGCTTTAAGCAACTTGGAGTTGATAATACGATTTTCGCTCTCGAGAACGCGCATGATGTCTGTTCTCGGATAATTAGCCGAGTATTACCGGTCCTATACCTAATACATAGGAAATCGTAGCATTAGTTGTTCATAAGCTCATTTTGAAGCGTCCTGTAAGAGGCACTGACGGCACATCCCAAATGTGAGTAACCCTGTGGCCGTCCCCCCACACGCACGCATCTAAATTAACTCCCGACTCTGTTCTATTAATTAATCTCATTACGTTAATATCTCCGTGGATCCGAAACTCGCGTCTTCCGTATCGCGCGCTTGTCAACGCGCGATGTTTCCATGTCTCTCGGTTATCACGGATGTGCTTAGAAAGCCATTATTTTCATTGAGAAATTGTTCTTTATTAAAAAATTGCATCAGTGACGAGTTTCTTTGCGGAAGAAGATTTATATATTATATAATAATATAAAAATTTTGTTCAATAAAATATTTGACAACTGACGCATCTTTTAACATAAGGGAAGAAAATCGATCGTCGATGAATGTCGTCGCGCGATTCTCGAGGAACCGATGCGTACCGCGTTACGCCGATTATTGCCAGCACATTATCTACGTCAGCTTACACCAAATTTTGGTTAATAACTACCGGCACGGTAATCCTTTATTATGGAGCGGCAGAATCGCATTAGCATAAAAACGTAATTATACTGGCGCGTCAGAGCGAGCTATTCGTAATATTCCGTAATACGACGGTTCGTATAGCCGAACGCCTCTCGATAATTTCGTCTCAGTCGTGCGTGCAAAAATTTCCATCAGTCAGCGGAGGCTCCATACTCTGCTTGCGACGGCATGGATTTTCAATAAACGCGTAAATATGTTTATGTTTTTTTTTACGATGACGTGCGATAAGAAGAAATAAGTATTCTACTTTATCTAATACTTCGCTTCTTGTGAAATCTTATAAAATTTCCGCGATTTTCCGATTAGACGTTTCAACGCTCTCACGACTTTCGGAAAGAAGTAGATTTCCTACTTTTACGCGCGAACGTATTCATCTAGGGGTTCAAACAAGCGGCGTGACGTTGCGGTGAGAAAGCACGCGACCTTCTTTTTCCTGCTAGTCTGCGATCGCGAAGAGGCGCGGAAGGCGAGCGGTATGATCGATCCGCCGGTAACGCGGCAGCCGGTACTCGGGCGGAAAATAGCGTTCGGTGGATGTTGACTACGGCGGCGCTACCCTTCGACAACTCGAACGAGAATGCCCGGTTGGATGTACATAGCTTTACAGGAAGTCACTCTGTACCTTCGTTGAATGACCAGTAACACACGTGGTCGCCGCGACGGTGTCTGCGTGCGTTCGCACGTGTGTCCTGTCTGTTCGGTGTATGCGTTTCCACGCACCGACACACTGGCGCGAGCGCGTTTTTGTGTACGTACATGCACGCGGTCACGCGCGCGTGTTGGTGCGCGGACACGTACGTAGAGGTGCGAGGGGGGTGCAGACGGGGGGACACGGAGGGTGGTAGCTGCCCGGACAGAGAAATGAGAATAGTGTCGGTCTACGAGCTGAGTGGAGTTGGTGAGCAAATTGCTCAAAGTAATTAATCGCTTTTGCCGGGTTGGCTTGCCACGCTGCCGGCTGAAGCTCATCCGAGGGGTGGCACCAGGTACCCCAGGAAAAGCTATCGAGGGACTCGCTTAAAATGGCCGACTTAGCGTCTAGCTTCGGCGAAATGCCCGGGTGACAATAAGCGAAGTCGGTGTGCGTACACACACCGGGGTCGAGTCGACTCCCGAAGTAAGAAAGTCGTCTTGGTAACCTTTTTCGTTTTGGCAAATAGCCAAATGCGCGTTGTAATAATACATTGTGACGCAAGAAAGTTCGAGGGATTTATTTTATAATCAGCAAAATGCATGATAATTTTATCGATCGCTTAAAATCTTAAACTGTGCTATTCGAATCTATTTTATGCGATAAAAATGCAGTAATAATCGTCTTCATTTAATATTTTTATTCATAATGTTATATGAAGTGTGAGAGATATCTGCTCTTAATATTGCTTTTGTAACGTTATTAATGTGCCCGCACATTTAGTTCGGAGATAGCTATTTTGGCATTTAGAAGTATTATACATGCGTGGTAAAGTATGGTAATATCGTGGACGAGTGTGTTAGAAATTTCGTACATCGGTTTAGTATCGGACATATAAAGTTTGAAGTACTCGTTATCCTCTTTCGTACGTCCGCCGCGCAACTTTTCGAAACATCGTCGGTGGATTTGAATCTACGTATCGTTTTATTCCGTTCGCGTGGTGGAAACTCATTCCGCATAAGTTTCACTATACTGCAATATTCTTTTACGGATTTTTAAAGCACACGTACTTATCACTGTAAAAACACGATGATAAATTTTGGTGATTTACATAGCACTCGCGTTAAAACGGGAAATATAACGAGGTAAATTACTTCATAAATGGACAACTATAAGCTTATGTCAATGCATAATATGTTCGGTCAATAAGCTTTATGTTTACCATGGTGCCGTATATACTGGATCTAAAAGTTTCTTCCCGTGCATAATTGCTAAAGCATTCATGCGAGTGAAATCGGTGACAAATATTACTTTTCAACGCAATAGCTTATTATTGGCTAATACTTTTATTTCGTAAAATATCTGCGCTACAATGGAAAGATTTTTACATCACAATCATCGTATATTATTAAAGTAATTGCGGAAGTGGGATGCCAAAATCATCGTCGCTCTGCTAAAATAAATGAAAATAATGGGCAAGCGTAAAGTCTTGAAAGTAGGCGAAGCGCCATTCTGGCGTGCGGTTTAAATTTTGCAGGAGATGAAAATGGAGCAATTTGGGAAATTAACTTTCGTCCCTGATGACGTTCGGCGAATCGTGGCATATCTTCGCCTGGAGACGCCGCGTCTCGTGAGATTCTACCGCAGGCATCGGGCCGGTTTCTCACAGAAATTGTACGGACGCATGCGCGCCGATCACAGTCCTCCGGTCACGGAGGATGGCCTGGACGAAAGGCATGAAAGAGCGAAGAGCGGGGACGACTAAGACAGACTGTGTGAGGAGAGCACGAGTGGAGAACGAAGAGGTTGGCTTCAACAACGGCGCGAAGTAAACGCGGCGGAGCGAGCGAGAACGTGGCGAGGACAATCGGCTAAGGGGGTTAGGGGGAGGAGGGGAGGGGGGAGGGGGGGGGGCGGTAAACGGGAGGGACGAAGACGGAAGACCCGGCATAATGAGAGCCTAAAGTAAACGAAGCGACGCGCACGAGGGATGTAATCGGACAGGAGGGAGAGATAAATATCTTAGACGATACAAATGTAAAACCTGAGATAACAAAGCCGCGGAAAAGAAAATAAACGATGAAATTGGCAGCACAGAGATAATGTGTAGTCGGGAGATAATAAAGAAAGGTATACTTATAATGAGAAATGTGAAGGCAAGAAGAGATTAAGTAATATAAGAAAATGAAGAATCGTCCTTGGAATTATAAAAACATGCAAAAGAAAATGAATAATAGAATTGGAGTAATGTAGGTAGAAGATGATAAGGCAAACGATATGTATGAGAGGTACGCAAATGAGAGAGGATCAAGGACATATCTCTCTGCGATATAACGAAGTAAGCTCGGTCGCGGGTTTTCAGCGCGTGCAGAGAGACAGGAAGTTGGATAAGAAGAAGATGAAGAAGAGGACGAAGAATCGAGTCAGGCGACTTTCCGCCTCGGGAAGAGGCAACTGGGGCTTACTACCACCATCTAGCAGCGCCTAGAAAAGGGGGGTGGGTGCTTTCATCCGCGGAACTGGGCGCGACTAACCTCTATCGATCGTAAGAAGACTTCCACACCTACGGACCTCACACTTCCTCGCGTTGCGCGTCCTACACTGGGTGGATCGCGTATAAATAAATAAACCGGCCGAGGCACCTGAGCGGCTGCCCATCCGCGTGATTGCACGCAGCGTTCCATTACTCATGCTACTTCATAGCTTCCCGGTTGATTTCGCACCTCGCAAGTTCTTCCCGCGTCTGACAGGTTACTCAACTTTCTCGCTCATAATGGAAACCGAACGTATATTTAGATCATTAATGCTAAGAATTAAATTATACGGGATCATAG